TCCCACCCAGCCCCATCCCTGCTGCCCGTGGGCGAGCTCGGGGTTCTCGGGCTGGCTGGGGACGGGCAGGGGCAGGTGGGACTGTACCAGGGCCACTGCAGCAGCAGCATCTCTCTGACAAGCCTTTCCCAGAGCCGCTGTGCCCACGGGCGCTCCTTGGTCCCTGTACCTGGAACAGAGGGGAGTGCACTGGTCACCCAGCCCAGGACACCCCGTGGCCATGGGTCAGTGGGTCTGTACAGCCACAGTCCCCTCCAGTGGCCCCAATGGTTCTGCTGTCCCTGGGGGAGCTGGGATGGGCTCCAGTGCCAGTGTTCAGTGTCAGAGCCTGTAGAGCCTCTCCTCAGCCAGGGTAGGTGGGATGGGATGGGATGGGGTGGGATGGGATGGCACCACCGTGGCTGCTGCACTGCCACAGAAGGGCTGGTTAGAAGGAATGCCTTGGAAGAAACGCTTCCAGAATACTAAGAAATTAGGAATTGTGTAAGAAATATGGCTTTTTAAAAAAGCATTTGTCATGGGACTCTTCATAGTTCAACCTACACTGGTCTGAGTGATCTCTACTATGTAACCTTTACTGCTAAGGAACCCTTATCTTACCCTAAGAGAAAAGCGATATCATGTGCCTGCAGTGCCAGGGTCAACTGTTTCCACTGTAAAAATCTCTGCAGAAGGTCATCTGTGTCCCCTGCTGTCGGTATTTTATCTCCCTCTGCCCACAGCTCCAGGGAGGACAGCACAATGGTGACGTTAAGGGGACTAAACATCTGAAAGCAGAAAGGAAACACCTTCTCACACACCTTCCCTTTTGAGCTCTGCACACAGACACATGGGAAAAGCCAATTGCTGCTCCCAGTCCCTCAATGACATCTGTAGCCAAAAAGAATGAACCCACCTAAAAAATGGAGAAATATAGCAAGAGGCCTGAGCCAAAGCCCAATAACTTCATAGGAAGGCCTTAGGGATTTACATGAACCATAATGGCACCAGTGGAGTGAAGAAAAGGACTGGAAGTTGCTTATAAGTACCTGAGAGGAAGCAGGTTAATTGGATCAGTGAGAACAGGGATCTGCTGCATGGGGAGGGGAGCAATGCTGGGTTTTGGCAAACTGCCTGTGTTCTGTCCATCTGTAGGAGACACGGCCACTGCATGGGGAAGGATGCTCTTTTGCAGCAGACTGACACCCAGAGGAAAAACCTTCTTGGGAAAGCTGGAATTTTTTACATAACCTCCTCCTAAACCCAAAAGCAGCTAGGAGAGAGGTGACCACTACCAACATCACCCCTGCAGTACAAATCAGACTTTAAAACTCACATTGTTGACTAAATTGAAAGCCTGGATTATCTTCTGTGTGACAGCATTCGGGTCTGACCCCATGTAGTTGTACTGAAAAACAACCCAAGAGGATGTAAGTACAGAACAATATCAGAACACTGAGATGATTCCCAGCACCCAGCCACGGAGATGTGAGCTACAAATTTGCACTCCTCCTTTCCTTCAAAATCCACAGGACATGTAATTTTTCGAAAGGGAAAACAAATCCCTGTACAAGCTGGGAGATGGCACCATTTCCCTGCTCACAGAAGTCAGGCAGAGGCAAGGAGAGTGTCTGGTACAGACTCACCAAAGCGCTGTCCAAAACCACGTACACTGTGAGGTATTTGGGAGATCGTGCTGCGGCCCAGAGGAGCTGGAAGAGAAAATGGGCTCCAATGTACTCCAGTGGACAGATCCCTGTGTTCTCTGGCCCCTCACCACTGCCCTTGGCTGTGCTGCTCAAGCCTCCCTTCAAAGCTTGTGGCCAAGTGTCTGGTCAAAGCTTCCTGTGGGATCAGGCTGCTCCTCAGGGACAGGACAACAGCAGCACTGCAAGAGCAGGTACCACTCACCTTGTCACCCCTGTGGGCCTTGGCTGAGGTCTCCTCTGCCACCAGCCCGCCCAGCTCTCTCCCAGGGGGGCTGTGGGGCAGGAGGGAACCTGCCGTGTCCTCCTCGCCCACTCGATACACGAGGTGCTCAAACTCGGGGGAATCGTCCAGGGGCTCGATCCCGTAGCTGACGTTCTCAAACTGCAGCAAGCCCCTGCCAAGGCAGTGGCACTGGCCATTTACTCCTGGCACTGCCTCCAGGCCATCCCTGGGCTCCCCACAGCAAAGCCTGGCAGCACCCAGGGGCAGGGCAGCACAGGGACGTTGTGGTACATTACCTGAGCCCCGAGCAGGTGCTGAGGGTCACTGCCGAGCTGGGGAAGCCATCGATGTACCCCCAGTAGTGGCAGCCTCCCTACAGCATGACAGAGGACAGGGAGCCCCTTCTGTGCCTGGGAAGGTGATTCTCACCCAGACAGCTGGACTGGTTGCACCAGGCAGAGATCTGTGCCACGACACTTAGGGTACAAATGCCCCAAAGCAAGGCAGGTTACCTCCATCTGGGCTGAATCAGGGGGCAAAGAGCCCTCCTCGTCCGACACGTAAATCTGGAAATCGTCAGATAAAAAGGCACTACAAGAGAAAGGTGCAAAGTGAAGCACTTACAACAACATCCATCACCCTTCTCGAGCTTCTCGCAGGTCCTGCAGCCACCAGGGAATGGGGTAGTGACTGTCAGCAGGGGCAGCATCAGGGCCAACTCACTGCTGCTGCAGGTGGATGGTGTAGGGCCTCCCCTCGATCCTCAGGACGTAGGACACTGTGTCCTTGTGCGTGCAGAAAAGTAGAGAACGGGAGAATTAGGAACAGGGAGTTGGACCAGCACCATCCGAGGCCCCCTACGAACACCAGGGATGAGCACAGAGTGGGTGATGTGCTGGCAGCTCTGCTGTGGTGACACCATTACAGCTGCCAGCACATCTGCACCCCCCTGGCTCTCCTCTGCAGCTGAAGACCTCACTCCCCCACCTTCCCCCCATCTCCCCCTCTCTCCCTCCCCAGCACCGTGCCTGCTGCAGCCGCGTCACTCCGGTCACGTTTGCCGGGAGCCGCTGTGGGATCGTGATCTGGGATGGAACCTGCCAGCCCAGAGGGGACAGAGACCCCCACGGCTGAGCCCAGAGCCGGGGGGTGGAGGGCACGGGGGGGCCCTGCCCAGCCTCATGCAGCAGCTCCAGGAGCAGCAGGAGCAGCAGTGGTGACATCGCACAAAGTGGCCCCATCGCGGGCCAGTAACAGCCCCACTGGTAACAGCCCCACAGCAACTGCCCCCAGGTAACGGCCCCACCGGTCACGGCCCCTCCCTCCCCTAAAGCAGAGGCTGAGGCAGAGCCTTGTACAAAACTGGCATCTTTATTGCTCGTTGGGTCCGTACAAAGGGGGTGGGAACAGCCCTTTGGCCAGAGCTGTGGAGGC